TGGAGAGAAATGGATTGTGATGGTGAGAGAGTGAAGAAGATCAAATCCATGTGCAAATGGTGGTATGTTTGTATCCCTATTTACATGCTTTTTGAACCATGATTTAGCAATTAAAAGATCCATCTTAGAGCCATGCAAACACTCCCAAAAGAATGAGTTTTGCTGCAATTTTCGGACTAATTTCCTTGCCTAGACCGCACGAGCGGCCAAGGGCACCGCACGAGCGGACATGAAGAAGAAAAAAGGAGTTTTAATTCTGTTTTTGGGTGCTCGAGCGGCTGGGTTCTTCCGCTCGAGCGGAATTGGGCCGCACGAGCGGCCAAAGTGGGCGCACGAGCGGCCACCCCTGTTTCAGCATACACTAGGTAACTTTGAACAAGCATATCTTTTGCATCCGGACTCTGTTTTGAGTGATTCTTGAGCCTAAAATCAAGCCCCAGAAGTCTAGTTTCCAATGGAAGTGGTCTCACGCCTACATTCTAAATACAGAAATAGTTATGCTGAAATTTGTGGCCACTGTTCACTTTCTATTTACTGAGTTGGTACTGTTTCATCGTCTGAACCTTTCTCCTATCGATTCCTCGTATTTTCTGAGGCATGGATTATAACCTACTAAGGATTAACGAGTTTGGAGCTGATATGACTAATTGATTAAGAGCAAAGTAAGTAATCGGGTATAATCTTATGATAATATGTGCATTGTGTTTGTAGGTCAAGACGAGGATATCGTCCCACTACTACCAGAATCTATCACTGTGAGTAATAGTACTATCAATGTACATCTAGTACTGTTAATAATTATTGTTATTAACACTCTATTCTCCGCGGGCCACTATTTTAACGTGTATGTTGATTTGGAATTGGTTAACAGAAAAAGCTCGTGAAAGTAACCCCGCTTACCGGGTACTTGATATTTTAAATGGGAACGTAATACCCCGAATGTTCTGTCAGGAACTCCTATCATCTGTTTGGTTCAATATATGTCTTGTGACCTGGATATCTGCTAAAGAGGATTAGCATAATTGGATAATACTATAGTAGTGCATTTTGCTTACCGTTAAAAGACATTTTATTAATGTTCTGTTATTTGTAAATTACCCTTAATGATTCATAATGATCAAGTGGAACAATGATGCTTGTGTATCCCGAATCATTCTGTTTTGTCAATGATGAGCCAAGGCTCTTCTGAGGTAAATTGTTTTGTCTCTACAAATAGTATTGTGATGGCACGTGTATAATCTGTGGGATACACTATCCTTATTGCTAATAATTATCATCAGTATTCTGTTAAATGTAAACTAACTACGTTAACTCATGTGAATGATTGGAAGAATCTGTGTGCCTCTGTATAACTCTGAAACTAGCCTGTTCTGATGATATCTGAGGTTATTTTGTTTTGTTGTTTGTTCCGTCTATGCCATGTGTAGACACCCCATTTTTGACCGACCTTAAGACTCAGACGTCACCAATTGAGCGCTTGGTGATGTTGCATGATGTGCTCGTTCAGAAGTTTCAAAGTCCCG